ATTGATTCTACATTGAAGTCAATTCCTCTTTTTCTCTGAATAACTGTTAAATCAACAGTTCAAATTTCCCTTTTTTTTTTTTTTTTGTGAAAAACTAGTTAATGCTTTATTAAGTGATCACGGAAAACCTGAGTATCATAAAAAAAGAAAACATCTATTTTTCTTTAGTGAGACGTGTATGACATAGTAAACTACTATTTCTGTTAAGCAGTAGCCAATTACCCTGCACTCATTTCGGAGATATATAGACCAACGGGACGCTCCAAATTTCAGTCCCTACTTTTGTTACCTGCTACTGTGGCAGTGACAGCCAAGGATCAAGGCAGACAGTCCACGTCTACCATTAAGGGAGAGCAAACAGGTCTCTGACACTATCTCTAAAAAGGCATTTGCTGGCAGGGCTGAAATGCAAGCAATTCTCCATTCAGAGAAATGCAATTTCTAGCAGTAGTTTGAGGGGAAAGGGAGAGGAGTAATGACAGTGTATTAGCTTGGGTTTGCCAAATGCAAAGAACAGACATTCATCTTAGTACCATTTCAAAAAAATATTTGCACAAACATCTTATCATCTTTTCAGTGAACAGGAATTAAATACGTGCTTAATATTAAGCAAGGGCTGAAACAATGTGCTGAACTGGGGCCACTGTGTTAACTGGTACAGGTTCCCCATTTGCTTAGAATAATCCCTGTCAGCTACAACGACGAAAGATTTCTAGCAGTTGGCACACATTTGAAAATGATGAAGAGCAAAGAAATCACTGACTGAAAATCTCAGATATGGTGCAAGTCACAATTTGCAGAGGCGATGAAATTACAGAACCTCAGTCAGGTGGGTGACAGCATTAGTGTGGAGAGGATGATTAGTGTGAAAGGTATTAACAGAGGATATGCAAAGAGGCTCTCCTCTCAGCACTCCTGTGACTGAAGCAGAAGATAAAGTTGTTTATGTTCCCGTGAAGAAAGCCATTGCCATCCCGCTGCGGCTCCAGCCCAGCCCTCAGGACCCCAGGGAGCGGCATTCGTGGTCGCCCCACCTCTCACAGCGGCACAGGTCTGCAAGCACGCCGGTCTCCCTGCGGGAAGGAGGTGCTCGCGCTCCCATCGTAATCCCCTTTTCAAAGGTCTCTCATAATGTTTCTCCCCCTGCTCCTTTTAATGAATGGTAATAGAGAAGACTCGACTAGAAGCCTTTCATCATTTTAGGACTAGGGGCTTTAGCTTTCTGACCTACTTTCCCTGCCAATGAAATTCCACTTTTAGCTTCAACTCAAGGTCTGAATGTTACCCAAATTCAGACCATCTGTTTTAAATGCCTACAGGCTGAGAAGTTGATCCAAGCCAGGAAGAATAAATGGAACCAGTGTGTGCATATATTAAGTATCCTCAACTCTCAGTGTATTAAATAACCTACTCAGTTTATTCCTGAGTCTACATAAACATTCCTGTTTCTTTGGGCAGTGCCTGCTGTTGTTGTAAGGAGTATTTATGCTACCAGTTGCTCTCAGAGACCCTCCGGTAGGTCACCTTTCTTGTACAAGCACAGGAATGAGCAGGGTACAACTGACCCCAAGTCCATCTAATCCCTTAATTTGGCTTTGGTGAGGGTTGGTACGGGCTACCAGTAGTACAGCTCGCCCCCGAGCAAGCCAGTAGGGAATAACCTGCCTCTCTCTAATTCTCACTGTTAGAGAAGCAAACAGAACTTGCATCTCCTCAGTGACCCTTTTCCACCCCGGGTGATGTATCTATGGGGTCTCGGTGCTAATAAAAAGACAGCTGACCAATCCTTTCATGAATCTCTAGCAAATTCCCCACGGTATCTTGAAACAGTGAGTTCCGATGAGGTAACTTCTTGCACTGTACAGAAATCCCTCTCCATTTTAAGTGTCCTATCTTCCCATTTCATTGCACATTCACCTCTGTCAGCATGAGAAAAGGGCCTAACAGCATCAGGCCTTTCTTCAGGATTTGAGACACATCTCTCAGCCCTTCTATTACACAAAACTCAGCAACAAATATGAATTTATAAACCAGAACAAAATCAAAAGGCAACATTACCTGGAAAATCCCTACTAAGTAACTGCTGACCACAGCTTTACAAAAACTCAAAATGAATCTGAGTACAGAAGATAAGTTTCTGCTGCTAGCACTGATAGGCATCTACAGCACTCGCCCCTCGCAGCTTGGCTGATGGATGTAATTGCAGCGGAATATCTAGGGAGGATGAGAGCATCCATGAAAACATTAACAAATAAAACAGGCCAGGGAGAAAGAAAACAGTAGTGTAAAACCAAGCCAGATATTGCAGAAGTTGAATACTCAGCCGAGGAGCTGCCCAGGTCAAAACAAGGCAGAAAATAAGTATATTTAATGTAAAAGAATCCTCGCATGAAATAGGCTCTGTGCTTCCCTGGACACAGCTGATCTGCTGTTCAAGTCTGTCATTTGACAGCCCGGTTATAGATTCTCTTGCTTCAAAGCCATTATGGCTCTGTTTACAGCACGCTCTTTCAGGAGGCACCACAAGCCTCCTCACGTGTCAGGTTTCTCCGGCATTCAGCAGCGCATCCCGTTCCTTCGAGGATCAGTATATTTAAAAAGCTGACATTAACATACCAGACTGTCCTTATGGACATGCATTACTGAGTCTGTGTCTGCAAAACACTTTCAAAAAACTTCTCCTATATTTTCAAAACATCATGCCAGCATCAACTAATTAATCCTCACAACACTTGGCCAGAAAAACTCTGAAAACATTTTAATCTCCCTTATGGACACGGAAAAATCACACAGAAGGTGGACCTGTCTTCCCTGAGGCCATAAAACAAGCCCATGACAAAGTCAGCTTTCAGACTTCAGGAGCGCTCCATCATCAGTTCTGTGTCACGTGTCTGCATTCAATCCATCCCACGACACCACTGCCCCAGTAGCTCCAGAGCCCTCCTCCCACCTTCCCAGTACACAGGAATTTAATACATCACATGTGAAAGTTTGTATGCCTCTGCTGAAAAAGGCGACAGCATCTTCGCATACCTGGAGGTGTGAATACGTGACAGAATAAAACCCAACCGGGCAGGAAAACGACGCGCGCGAGCAGCGGCCAGCGGCGCTCCGGAGAGCTGTGGGCTTTGATGGGGCAATTCCAGCAAGGCAGATGAAACAGCTAATGTGGCAGAGGAACTGCGAATTAAACCCTAAACAAAAGATCTGACTATCCCCAGCTCCCATACCATAGCTGTTAATTCCCCGTCCATTCATCAGGTGCAGAAACAAGCAAGGAATGAGTAATATTTGCTTTTGTTTTCATTGTATCATTGGAAGTGACATGATCATTATTTCACTGGAGGTTCAAAGCAGCATTAGCATGATTACTTTGGATTTGTACATATTAAATGGAGGGACATGAGCTCCTCTGAGCTGTCAAATGCAACACAGGCAGTCTTGCAACGCAACTGAAACATTCTAGCTGAATTTTAGACATTTTTTTTCTCCTCTGTGCAAATCAAAACATTGCATAGCGATTTACTTACAGTATAAAAAAGGATCTCTTGCACCTGGAAAGCTACATGCTAATTCCATGCTTTATTCTAGCTCTTTCATGCAAAAGGCTTTCAAAATCATATTCTATTGTATGGTACATAATGTTATTATTCCGTCCTTATTGTCCTAAAAGCAGAAGCTTACAGGCTGGAGTGAAATCTTCTTTTGACTCTACTGTGCTGGGCAAAAGGTTAGAGAGATAAAGGAGCTTTCAAAGAGCTGTTAATGCCAGTACGAGGCAGAAACACTAAATCATTTGAAGCAGCATTGTTTCTGTTTCCATCCTCCCCGAGATATTTCACCTTTCATAGGCTGCGTCTGAAAACCACAAGGTTTTGCACCACTAGGCAGGAAATCTCCCTTGACTGCTTAAGCACAGCGACCAGAAATCGCACAGTCCTCTTGTGCCCATTTGATCCAAAGTCAGCGGCCCCCACGTTCTTGTGTTGGCTCCGCGACCTCAACCAAATCACCTGGGGGCACGGGAGCAGGCAGCAGGGCTCCCCGAGCGCGCTGCTCGCGGCGGCTCCACTGCCCTCCCTTGAGCCAGCTCTGCAGAAGAGGAGGGGCGTCAGACCCGACGCTCTGCCCGAAGACGGGTCTCTCACTGGTAAGAAGGACGGTGTTGGGATACAGCTTTATTTTCAGTTGCACTCATCTCCTCTGCAGCTAGAGAAACCAGTGGGGACAACAGCCGTACAGTAATGGTAATTTATGAACCGCAAGCCCCTCCCCAGGTGCCTGCCTTATACCGGCTGAAAATTCGGCACATAGAAAGGCTGCTGGAAAAGAGCATCCTCTGAAAAGCTGTTTCACTGTCCCCACGGAGCGGTTATTGCTGTAGCACCTTCCGATGTCCCTATACCATGAGATCTGCCAGCTTTCTGACTACAATTCCCTATTTGTAGGGCTGTGAACGGTGCACAGAGAGATAGGATCATCAGAGATGCTGCTAAGAGGCTATTTTTAGAGTCATTTGATGAGCTGTTCAGCACCTTATTTATTGCTGTCTCCAGCTGGAGGAGCTAAGCACTGTCCAGACACCTCTACCGCTAAAACCAGAACTCAGAAGCAGTGACCTCTATTTGATAACATTTTCTGTACTGACAGAGAGAAAAACAACAGCACATTATGCTGTCAAGGCTAATAGCTGCTAATTAGGGTGAGTGACATATGACCCCTCTTATTTCCAAAGAACACAGAAGTCACAGTACAAATTTAAAAAATGTTGAAATTCTGCATTCACAGTCTTTTCCTGTCTAAAGAGTGACCACTTAAAAGTAATTTCCTATTTTGGTTTTTTTCCTGGCTTGTCTGTTTAAGGCTTTACTTGAATTTTACCTTATCTGTACAGTGGGTAGGAGTCTCAGTGTTGACAGCGTTTCCTTGGTAGGAAATGGGGCTTTGAAGGGACACCAGGAGAAGAAAAGGGGACAAACCGCAGCTATGCGATTAGAAACATGGGGTACACGTGTGGAGGCTGCAGCATCGCCATCAGTGCGCAGAGCGCCGACGGGACGGCAGCAGCAGGGGCAGCTCCTCCCGAAGGTCGCATGCCTTCGCGCACCACAACGCTCGTGTATCTCACCTAGCGCAGCCAGTAAGCAGAGCAATGAATTCAGCAACTGAAAACTGGCTGAATCTGTTGCCATCTGACTGGATTCCTGGCAAAATAAATAGAAAAGATGTTTATCTCTAGGCATGTTCCACATCTAAACTAGCCGATGCTCAGCATTTATCTCTGGACAAGCCTGGAGCCACATACAGGCTGTGCTTACTCCAGATTTCTGTACAAACCGCCTTGCATGATTAATATTTGTAACGCGGTAGCACTTACGGGTCACTGCTGGCTGTTGGGTATATTCAGAACATGGGGCAGCTCCTGCTCTGAAGAATCTAGCGCCTACTTAACCAAGCAGGCAAAGAATAATTACCAGTTGCCATTTCATAAATGGGGAACTGAGGTACAGAAAGCTGAAATGATTTACTAGAGGTCACATTAGAAGTCTACTGAATTTGCAGCCTCCTGTTGTTTTATTACAGACTCAAACATCTCGTTAGACCCTCTGAATGTTAATCATTACCTAACTCTTCTATCTTCTTGCTGCTCTAATGAGATTATTGATGAATTACTTAAAATGCAGTTTCTGTAGAAGAAGTTTTTCAGGTGACAAGTTGCCTTTTACTAAACAAATTAATGGGAAAGTTGAGTTCTCTCATTCCAGTCTGTGGAATAGAAGTTTGGGGTTTAAAATGCCCAATTAGTACTAACTGAAATCCAATATTTGAGATTATTTGGCACTGTATCTGTTATAAATATGCCATGTGGCCATTAGTACCTCGTGGTACGAGCAGGACAAAAATAATCACTCCAGCAATTAATATTGCAGTAGCTGCATATGTCAATATAGGAGTAGAACAATTGCAACTTTATAGGTTCATTCCAAACCCCATTATAGTCAAAGTCAAAGGGAGGCCTCTCATTAAGTGCAAGGGGATCTAGATCAAGCTCTGCTGAAGCAGAGCGGGGTTTTACTCTGATCAAAAAGCTATGACATTTCCAAACATCAGCATCACTCACATTGCAGGTCAGGCCAGTAAAGCCAGAGAACACGGCTGGAAGCGCACGACGTGCCGTGCAAACCCAGAGGGACGAATCTAACAGCGTCCTCTCCGCAGATAACTCTGCGGTGGATCCAGAAGTCAGTGTTACAAGTTCTAGGTCTTGTTCCTGTGCAGCCCGCTCCAGCTAGTGCAAAACTTCTCATCGCAGTATCTCTCATAATAGTTTTGCAAATGAAGTTCTACATCTCCCCAGAAAAATCCTCCGTGCTCCCAGACAGTTTGATCTTTCCTGATGGTGTTTTAAAGCACCTTCTCTGAAGTCCCAAGTAATGAGGTAACTCTCAGTCTGCGTGTAAGAACAAAACTCTACAAGACAGACTGTGAGCCAGACACTTATTATTATAATTTCTACAAATGCACAGAAGGGCTTTCTCTCAGTGCTCCAGGTCACTGAGATCATGTTTGAGGCATATGATTAATTTTCAGCCTTACTGTGTTAAGGGGTGCCAGAGGAAAAGTAAGAAAGATTTTTTTTTTTTTAGAACAGTATTAAATGAGGCAGAAGACCTTGTCACTTAGCCAGAGCTTTTAAACTATCTTTGCATAAAGCAGCAGCTAAAAAGTTAATAGACATAAATAGCATTTTATTGATTTGAGGTATTTTGTGGGGTTTTAATGCAGGTGAAGGCAGGAAAAGGATTCTGCTTGGAATAATTAAGACTTAGCTAGTAAAGCCTGAAACATTTACACCAAAAAAAAAAAAAACAACCAAAAAAAACCCCCGCCAAACCAGCCCCGAAAACAAACACCTAAAACCTGAAAATACCAAGGAAAGCTGTCACTTAGCCTGAATCTAAGCCTTTCCTGGGACACAAGCGAGTGTGACAGCCCAGCGATGGTAATCTTTCACCCAGTTGCTTGGCCACACTGCCTAGCCACCGAGCCTAGAAGGAGAGCACAGGAGAGACTCTCCGGAGCAAGCAGTTAATGCGTAATGAGTTCTGCTTTTATTCAGAGACCCTCATACCAATGAGTTCTTGGATGGGGGAAAGAAGTTCAGCTGATAAAAAAGGTCTTTTGAAATACTTGGCTTTCCCCTTGGATGTAAATTATTTTTAGCACAACTCTTATTCCCATAAAAGCTCTTTGTTGGTCATACACAAAAATCAAAGGTAAAAATACAGCCAACTGTAAATCATTTTGCCTTTCAATATTTGCTGCATCAAACACCAGAACGTTCCCAAAGAAGAGCATGGAAATCCCAAACACCATCTGATAGCAACTAGGGGCCTCTCCAGATTTCAAGTACCCTGAAACAAGGGGTGTCTTCCTTAGGCACAGATTTTAATTTTAGCATCCTTTCCCTCTCTACTGCAAAACTTCAGTAGGTTGCAGTGCCTAGGACCTCTCTTCTACTCCAGGGTGTAGCCAGGTCATGTAAACCTGCTTGTAGTGGGATTTCAGAGTACAATGTGCCCTCCTGAGTCACAGAGGTACTTTGGGAATTCCTGTACCCCGGTGGTTTGTACACAGTCATTTCAGAATCAAGAGATTTTTTTTAAAAATCTGTTGTTATTTGGCTGCTTGCTTTTCCCTTTCCTCCAGATTAAAATTACTTCAATGAATATTGATATTAATATACATTTGCATGCAAGCATGTAATAAACGGCTCACTGAAACAAGGCCTGTAAATTCAGTCAGTGGCTGTGCTAATCATGTTCCTATCACACTCTAGGGGCATTAGCTACAAATGAGCTTTTTGTTACATGATCAGAACACACTGCAATCCACATCCAGCTTTCTGGATGGGTTTTTATTTGCCTATCAACCATTTGCAGAAGAAAGCACTGAATTCACTTCTGGAGGGCAAACTGCAGGGGAGGAAGAGCCTCCTATGGAGGTTACCGCCACATCTGCTGCGCGCAGGGCACAGCATTTGCATTGCCAGCAGCTGGCGCTTGCTAGATATCAGAAGTTGTGCTGCGAGATGGGGAATCGCGAGCGATGGCACAGTCGGTTAGAATTAAGAGGTCCGGTCACCTGGGATGCAACATGGGGGCTGTGTCGGGCCAAACTGTAAATCAGAATTCGAAATCCCCATTACCTTTGCTGTAACAGAGCGTTCAGTGAGCCAGGGCAGTCAATCACGTGCCTGAGTCCCAGAGCAGTTTCCATACCGTATGTTCCATGAGGGAATAAGAGCCATGCTCCTTCTTACGGCACTGGTGAGTAGCCATAAGGCAAAGCACATTGGTTTTCCTTACAGAAGGACAGTGTTAAAGCTTAAGTATAAAACTGCTGCAGAAAGCTTTTGCAACGTACAAAGTAAAAACACAAACAGCAAATAAGCACTCAGAGTAGTGATTTCTGTCGTGTGGAATCCACAGAACCTAAACCAGCATTCGTCTCCCATCTGCGTAAAATGGATTATTCCATCTCAGTTCTGCTGGTATTATTTAACATACAAATTACAATCACTAATGGGTCAAACCCAGTGCAGAGGTTTGTCCGAATAGTTTTTCGGCTGGTCCCATATTCCTGACAATTCACCCTTCACTGAATCCAGTCTTTGAATGAACCCCACATTTCTGACTGTACAGATGGCAAGGAAACCGATGGGTTTTGAAACAGAAGTGTAGATCAGTCCTCATTTGCACCTGGATACAAGGGAATGAAAATATATGAACCTGCTCACAAGCAGACGCGCAGTTTTAAGTTTGTTAGAGCTCATCTACATGGAGCGGTAGGTACTAAACGAGCAAGGGCAGGAATTTAACGTGCTCAGCAGCTGCCTGAGCCAGCACGTCTATTCTGCAACAGGAGCGCCTTTCTTTGGCTTAGCTTAATTCATTGCCAAAGCACGGTGCACTCGTCATCTCCAGGATGACAGCACCACGTGAATTGTTGCTTGCACGGTGGATTTCTAAGCTTCAGTGTCCAACCTGGACACTCACACTGCTGCACACTCAGGGAACCTGAAAAGGCTTTTGGTGCCATTGCACTTGTCTGAAGGAGGGGCTTCCCCCTTTTTTTTTTCCCCCCTCTAGTTATGGTGACATGGTGCCCAAGACAATTGCTGGGAAGATATTTGGCTCCATTTGCTCCCTGAGCGGGGTGCTGGTCATTGCTCTGCCGGTTCCAGTCATTGTTTCCAACTTCAGCCGAATTTACCACCAGAACCAGAGAGCTGACAAGCGGAGAGCACAGAAGGTAAGCCATCCCGCGCGGCCGCCGCCTCCAAAAGCTCAGCAGCTCCCAGGAGATGTCAGCCCCTGCTTGTCACCATGGGGCTCGAGAGAGGCTGGTGACAATCCTGAGCACTGCGTACACCCGTCCATCTACCTACACGTGTAGGCTTACCGTCGCACACAGTTACAACCGGCTGTCCCCGTACAGACACGAGCGAGTTCATTGCACACACTGTGTACTGGCGTATTTTAAGCATCAGAAGCAAAGGGGCTTTTATTGCTCGCCTTTGCTACACACCAGTCTGAAATACATACATATACACTTAAACCCTTAAATCATTAACAGGAGCTGTTTATCTTTCTGGCTGCTTGGTTCCAGTCCTCCCTCTGCCCTCGAGTTTTGAAAAACACCCATCCAGAAACACATACATATCAGTACAGGTACCCCCTCAAAGCTGCAGACTGTAGCATAGACAAAATACTGGGAATACACAAAAGCCCCTGGAAGTATCAGGGGATTACTGAATATTCCAAAATCTGAACATTTTTTACCAGCATAAGCTTACTGATTCACTGAGAAAGTATAACAGATTTATTATATCTCTATTTCAGCCTGCTAAATTACACCAAAACCAGAATCAGGTTTTTACAACAACTGCAAACTAAAGGTCTGGGTTTTTTTTTTCTCCCTATGGAATGCTGCCTGCCAGAAATTCAAGACTCAGGGGACCTGATGGAGAATAGTAGTAGAAAGATGTGCTATTTCTGCTTCAGGCAAGCATCTGGGCCGTGCCTACTTCTTGCATCTCAGGGAGCTGTCAGCAGAGAGCTGAGATACAAGACCTACAAAACCACAAAATTTGGCAGTCAAAACACGAGGAGAGTAGCAGAGAGACAGAATCATGCAGGAATGAGTTGCAGTCTCCATAAGACACTGCTGGGTTTTACACATACCTGCATAAGGTTTGGCATTGTACGTGTGAAACTGCAGTAATTTGGGGAGGTGTTTTTGAGGCAGAGTTGTTTATCTGATTAGTCATACAACAGAATATAGATTTAAAAAACCCTAAAGATACCATAATGGAAGTCCACTCGGTACCGCACACTGTTCAGTCAGCAGCCGGACAGCGGGAAACCAGTACAGATCATTACATTCATTTAATGAATTTAAATGGTTTGCAGAGTGGATTGCCTAATGTGAGGCTGCACCCAGGCATAAGAGATCTGGGTTTAACTTGCAACAGGAACATGCTAGGTGTCAGTGCACGGGAAGGACACAGAGGTTCTTTACGGGGACAGCATGCAATAGCCCATTTAAATAATTGAAGACTTTGAGAGAAAGCACTTGTTCTACTGAAAAGGCACATAAACACAGCGAGAGACAGAACCGGCTTTACAGAATAGCCTAGGCAGCAGATAAACAGGCAAGACAAATAGACAAGGTTTGTGCATAACCATGGATCACAAAACAAAGGAGCTCCAGAAGTGACTCCAGGTCTGTGCTTTCGGATGAGGCTGTCCTTCTCTCCAGGCAGCAATACCGAAGTTTCTTGTTCCGGTTCGCCTTTTCCTTTATTTGTTGGACTGCGATCCGCTTGGTGACAAAGAAATGTACCACCACCTTTGATGCCAATATGATTGATTGCAGCTTTTATAAGGTTTGCTGTATTGACACACACAGTGTATAATTTCCCCCCATTTGAATTTCTAATTCCCTTGATATTGGATGAATTTCTGGGCTAAGTAAGTTTTCTGAAGTCAGAAGCGTGAGTAATTTTCACATGATCGTCACTGCATGAATACTAAAGAGAACGAAAGAGACAGAAGCACATTAATGACAGCCTCTCTGGAGATGGTCGGGACATACACAGGGACGTTAAGAATCTGCTTTGATAGCATGCTTGTTCCAGCATCATCCTCCAGTGAATTGAATCCCTTCTTCAGAAACAGAAAAGTTGCAGTAATAGTTAAAACTCTGTCCCCATCTAATTAAAGATACAAAGACATTTACATGGCTTTTTCAAGAAGGCTGGAAAAAGCTCTTTGCACTCTCTCAGTCCTTGAATATGAAGAGCCCACCAGTAGAAGCTCCTTATAAGCAGTTTAGAAGACACAGCTTTGAAGAAGTAACACAGATGTCTTTCCTAAGTTTCTAGTGTGTTAAATAAATTATTTTTCTCTTTTAATTGAAGATTAAATAATTTGTAGGCTGTTAGTATAAATGCTTTAGAAGTTCTGTTTAGTTCAAGAATCATAATTTTATAACGTACAAGTAGGTTTCAAGATTAGGCTATAGACGATACTTATTTATTTTTTATGAACTCAGACTGAATTTTTCCAATGAGTAACAGTAAAGGCAAAAGTACTATACGAGTGCCAAATTGGCTGGATAGGACATTCACAGATTTGAAGGCTGGGGTGTGAGCAAACCTGGGGTCTCCGGAACAGGGGGGCTTTCTGAGGGGCTACACTCCAGAAAGCAGGAAAACACAGCACAGCCCTGATGTCCCTCTGGGTTATAACGTGCTCAGTCTTAACTATGGCTCTTAACTGTTGAGGAGGCACTGGTCTAGCAGGAAGAGGTACGTAAATAGCATGAATAAAGTAGCGGGAGGTGGCTGTTACTCATCAGCATCTATTCAACTAACTGAGGAGAAAAGTTCCTTAAAAAGGAGAAAAAACCCAAACCCAAACTACCAGTGATTTAATCACCTTGAAGATAAATTATTCTTTGCCAAACTGCACTGCAAGAGAATTAATTACAAGGAGATCTGGCAATCTTAATTTATTGTGCTGTGTCATCAAATTTTGTCCTCTGGCATGCTGCAAGGAGCAGGTCAATCCGAATGGAAGATGAATTGATCATTTCTGACAAGGTTCATTTTGGTAAAATTGTTTTTTTTTTTATTCCCCCCAAAGACTTTTTTTTTTTAATTTTTGACTGATGTGCTAAGAATAGACCTTCCTGACTTTGAAACAATGGTGTTCTTTAGTGAATGTCACAGCCCTTGGTTTTAAAAGAGAATTTGACACTTAAAAAGGCTTGACAATGGAATGACTTTGTAAGTCAGATAACGCTGGAGTCTCTCTCTTGCTGTGTTCAGTTTGCATAGATGCAATGCGAAGGAGGAGGAGACAAGTATCTGGCGCTGGTTTGAGGACTACACCTCCCACTTTTCAACCCTAGAAAGAAAAAGCAGAGGCAGCTACTAACAGTTACTGAAATGCTGCTCCTTTAGCAGCAGTAGAAAAAGTAAAACAGTTCACTGTTTCGAAGTTAGAGACTGAGTTAATACAGCCCCAAGCCACAACGGTATTCCCGCCAGCAGGGCAGCGGAGAAATGCCGGGCTGAAAGACTGCCAGGTAATGCAGTATCGAAAAGGATAGATGTGGCCTTCAGGCTTAGTGCAGCAAAGATCCCAGAAGCACAGGCTGCCCTCCCAAGGTTTACAGGTATGCTGGAGAACTCTGGACTCAGAGACTGGTCAAAAATCCTGCAAAAATGATCGTTCTTGAGTAAACTCTAGCTGTTAACAGGCAAATATATATTCCCATGTCTTTAAGCGGAGAACCAGTACTAAAATCCAAGGCCCTATCATTTGCACAAACAGCAACAAAAGAAGGAAGAAGGAGAAGAAAACACCAGATCTCTTAGTGAAAATACTTCTAGAAAGGTGTTTTTCAAAGTGTTATGGGAGCCTTTGTTGGTCCTTAGTCTCCCAGGTCCAATGACACTTGTCTTTGTCAGCTTTAAAATAACCAAATCAGGTCCCTCAGCTAGAAAGACTGTCCTAAGTGCAGCAAAGTTAGTTTGTTCTGTTGTTTTTTTCATTCCTGGAATGATGCTTCAGAGCTAGAGATCCCTTCAACATCTCCCCAGACTGCTCCAATACAGTCCGACTAATTACAGCAGTATGGCCCCACCAGTTGTTAGCCCCAACTGCCTGCACACTTAAACATACATGCAGACAAAGATCTAAGTTCTCAAAGGCATATTTAAAGCAGTTTTGAACAGCCTCAGAGGGCACATGGAAGCAGAGTGGCAGCTGAAATGCTTGGAAATAGTAACAACAGCCTAAAGCAAACTGGTCTCTAGACCAGCCCCCTTAGGGCTAAAATTTAGCCAACCGAGCTGTTCTAGATCTTCTCAGTTTGGGGGAAAACAAATGTTCAGAAAGGGGCCTCTTACACAATGACGTATGCCTCCCACATTTGCACAGCAGAGGAGGGAGAAATGTAAATGCTCAGATACTGTGGGGAAAAAAAAAAGTGCAGTTAAGATTTGCTAAATGAGCCAAGATAGTGGAATGGCTGATAATCTCAGAGGGATTAGCATGGTTTTAGTGGTACACTTCGCAGGGGCTAAACTGAAGTTGTCATCTACAAATATAAAAGTTCAGTAATCACAGTGTTTGGTTTCAGGTCTGCAGTAAATATGCGTTTGAGGACTACAGCTTCTTAGTCTGTTCAATTAATTTCATTTATTATCTGGTGGCCAAGATATGTTCTCTATGAGAACAAGCAACATACTGCAAAAGCCTTGAAATACACTTCTCATTTCATCCTCTAGGTTATAAGTTTCCAGGAAAGAACCAAACACCCAGATTTAGGCAAGGAAAAGACTACCCAGGACAAAATAATTTTGCAGACCCACTCTCACAGAGAACTGTAACATAGAACTGAAAACTGTAACGCGGGCTGTCAAAGAGTAGATGGTATAAATTAGGTGAAGCAGAGACGTGGTGGATGAATTAAAGCATTCCATCAGAGCCAGTATCAGCAGAAGAAAGGAAGCAAGGGGCAAGGGACAAGCCATATCTTTTCAGATGGCAGTCGATGAGAGGAAGTAGATGGAGGAAGGTTATTCCAGACAGCGAGAGCTACTCATGAGATGGGTGCACACAGGCAGCTATGACTCTGCAGACTGGTGAAGAGGTAACTATGGAGATGCTTAAAAGGGGCTTAAGCCAAAAGGAAGGAAGAGTAGGGACACAAACGTCTTTCTGATTGTTCCGTAAGAG